GGAAACACGTCATGCTGCAGGCGTTTTTGGAGAAGGGTTTTCCCAACTGTCGTGGCGCTGTCGACTGCACACACATCTACGTCGACAAACCGGCGAACGCCCCCAGCGAGAACTACTTCGACCACAAACACCGTTTCTCCGTTTTTGCGCAGGTCGTGGTCGACATGGATCTCCAAGTTTCGGACGTATTCGTTGGGTATCCCGGGAGCTGCCATGACATAAGGGTGATCCAGCTCTCTAGTCTATCGCATCGAGCGGAAGAGGCAACGCTGTTTCGTGGGCCGCCTGTCACACTGCCGGATGGGGTGAGGACGAACGGATACATCTTGGGCGACAACGGGTACCCTCCTTCTGAATGGGCGGTGGTGCCATACGGCGGAATCATTTAGCCACCCGACGAGGAAAAGTTCGACACGAAGGAGAAGGTCGCGAGAGGGGCTGTGGAGAGGGCGTTCGGGCGGTTGAAGGGGATGTGGAGGCTCTTCCTACGGACGCACATGACCAACCTAGACACTCTGCTGCAGCAGTTCACGACTGTCTGCATTATACACAACATTCTCCTCAATGCTGACATCGAGTTCGACGAGAATCTGCTATGGGAGGTCGACGAGAACGGGGTGTGGCACCAAGTGGATCTGGGGACTCATCTCGCAGCCAGTCAACAATTCCTTCCATGAGGCGATCACGCTCTGGAACGCTCTAGCGGAGCGAATGAAGCACATGTGATCCATGATACGACCTGGCTTTTTCTTGCGATGAAAGCACCATGTTCATATCCTGTCCCGCCGTCGTCAATCCAGAGCGCTCGCTTCGTTGGCTTTCACACGCAGATGGTATATCGTCGTCCATCGCCGTGTGTTGGATGTTTCTTCCGTCGAGGATGACTTGTTTGGCCGTCCTCGTAATTGTGGACAACGGTAACGAGGGTGTTTTGTTCGTCGATCATCAGAGTGGATGCTTGTAGTGACGAGGATTGTCGTTGTTCCTCGCATTGTAGTCACGACTTTTCTTTACTGCTTTCACCATACCTTTCTCTTCGCTGTGTTTTAGGCGATTGTGGGGCTTGGGGTGGGGGAGTGGAGGCCGTGTGGTGGCGGGTGGCGGTGGTTAGGGCGGCGCGCAAGTCTGGCACGTTAGGTGGGGGAGGTAGGCAGAGAGGAGGCCGGTGCGGTGTGGAGGTTCACATGAAAATTTTGGTTGCTCTGCACGAGCACTTCTTGAAGCGCAGAATCCCTTTCTCAACTAAAAGAATGTGTTTTTCTTTTAGACATGTGTATGAGGTCGTCTTCTTGTGTCTGGCTGTGTCCTTTTTAACGACGGGTTTGTTTTATTGTCTCGTGTATGGAACTTCTGTCATATATCTCGTCTGCGTTTTTTTGCATGTCCAAATGTAGATCGTCGATGCGTTGTTGTTCCACACACGACTTGCATGCCAAAAAAAAACAAAACAAGTTCATCTCGTGACATTTCGGTCCTTTCACCAACAGCATCGCTATCGTACTTTTTTTTATGTTTTGTATTTTTTTTTTTCTTTTTCTTTTTGGGGTTGTCTTTTCTCATGTGGAGGCGGTGTTAACGCATCCGCGATTTGAGACATGGCGTGACGAGCACGATACGTGAGAAGATGTGCATGACATTGAGACACTGTCGGACCCGTGAACGTGACCGACCATTCATTTGGTGTTTTTTTTTGTGAACGGTCGTTCACGGTGAACGAGCCGACCACTAAAGAGTGGTGGTTTTTTTTTAGCTCCCCCAGGTACATTCGCCTCAAGCCCCACAGCGTGGTGACATTGAAAAATAAATAAAATCGAAATAACCTACAAAATAGCAAAATAAAATGCTTATTTTGCCTAGTTGATTTTTTTTTGTTTTGGTTTTTAATTAAAAAATTTTATTCGTGAAAAAACAAACTTGAAAACATTATAGGGAGTTACCCTTTGATGTCCCCCACCCTCCTATAAAAAAACAAACATACCCTCCCAGCCAAAAAAAAAAAAAAAAAAAAGATACTGCTCGGCGCTCTCCGTGAACTCCAAGAACTCCTGTGTCGTGAACTCCATGAACTCTATGACCGGCTCCGTTCACAGACCCCGTGAACGGTGAACGGGGGTACGGCACTGCATTGAGATGGCCATTCACCCGTAGTGGACACGAGAATCCCACACAGAAGATAAGAAAAACACTAGTACGTGAGCAACCATTGCCACACAACTCGATGTCCTCAACACACACATTCGTTAATGAAATCCATAGATTCGCATTGCATACTCGAAGACGGCGAAGAGGTAAACCCGGGTTTTTCATGCCACGGTGCTACCCAGCCTTCCACGGCGCACAACTCTCTCTCTCTCTCTCTCTCTCTCTCTCTCTCTCTCTCTCTCTCTCTCTCTCTCTCTCTCTCTCTCTCTCTCTCTCTCTCTCTCTCTC